TAGGCACATAGACAGGTGTAAACATTATATTCCAGTCTAGTGTCTAAGAGGCAAACTGTGAAAAGTGGGCTTATAGGCCATAAGCAAGTGCCCTTAATCATTAGTAATCACTGAGAATTAAGTTCCTACAGAACCGCCCCAGCCGCCAAAGAAAGGCAAAAACAGGAAGGGCCTGAGGAAGAGGGGAGGATAGGCAGCAGAGTTATACAGGGCTACGATTGTGGTGGCTTCCACACTCTGCTCAGGGTAACAAAAGAGAGACAGGGAGCTACACTGAAGTCCATGTGACACTGTCATCAAAGACAGGGAGTCAGATGTCCTAGAAGAATTCAATCTTGTTCATCTGAGCTAAGCACCTTGGGTAGTTGTTGCTACAGAGATGTAACTATGTCAACTTCCTAGAGTTGCTGGGACTACTGAAATGACAGTATTCTCCCACACATCTGCCCCCAAATAACCTAAAATATTGCATATTTAAAAGCATTTTTCAAATTGCCAACGGAAGTTACATTATTGTAATTTTCCAGCAGGTAGATGCATTTGTGAGAAATATGCAAAACTATGAAGACAAGGCTTAATTTCCCCTCAGCCAAATTATGCTACTGTGAAAACATAATTTGATTTCTTCACTAATTGCCTGAAATCTAAAAGAATCAAAAATCAGAACTCACTGAACTATGCCTGACATTTATTAGATGTACACAGGCTTTGAAGCCCTAGCACTGAGCACACCATAGGATTTCTCTGGTGGCTTTTCAAAACTTAATAGTAAATAGCAAGGAAGATGCTCAATCATGAGCTTTCACAAATGACTCATTACTACTGCCTCCACGTTATTAGTTTACAGAATTAATAATTTTAATTAGAATACACATGGAGGTAAGAATACAAATAGTCATCTGTCAAAATCGATTAACAATAGGCAAGAGCCAGATTTCAAGTTACAGTGTTATTAGTCAATCACAACATTAGTAAAAATGACCCAAATTAATAATATTTAGCATTCTAGATAAACCCTGATAGCATTTCTCTGTACTTAGTTGTGAAGAAAAATTCCTGCCTTCTACATCAAGACCATGAGTGCATGTTGCAGTAGATCATTCAGACACTGAGCCATAAATGGCCAAGCTTGTATATTCACACTTGATTTTTATCAACCTACTTCAAGGATCAGAGCACGTTTGGAAATTATTTAATAATAATTATTAATCATCTTGCCTAGAAAGAATGTGAACTTATTTTATCGATGAGTTACTGTCCTGTAAATATTTAATACTGTACTTAATACACACGCTCATGCTAAAAATTTTCAAGTGAATCTATCAAAGCTGATCAGAGAAATGAGGTATAAAAAGCAGAATTTATATGCCCAGCCTGGGAGGGGATACAATATACGGATTCTGAACTAGCATAAGGAATCAAGCGTGTTTTGAATTACATTAATTTAAAAACCATGTTTCACTCACTCTGCCAGCACAGCTGTAGAGTTGACAACTACAAGGACTATTCTTAGCCTAGGACACCAACAGCAAGGCTGTTTTTGGAAGAAACAAAACATACCAATCTCAATATATTTTATACTCTTGTTCTGTGTCTTTGCTCTAACTCTTTAGGCACAGCAAATATCTGTCGTGAATAACATAAACTTGTGATTGCTGCTATGTAACTCAACAGTTTAGGATGGAGAATGGACAATAAATGAGATAAACAATAAATTACACAGACTCTGAAGTGGTGGTGGAGGCCAAAGAGGAAAAAAACAAGGCAAGAAAAAGGTTTTTGTTCACTGATTCTGGAAGGACAGCTGAGGAATCTGCATAGGACTGAACTAGGCCCCCTGAATGCACGTGACAGTGGATGGCTTGGGGAGTTTGTGGGGCCACTGGCAGTGGGATCAGGATCTATCCCTACTGCATCAACTGGCTTTTCGGAGCCCATTTCCTAAGGAGAAATACCTTGCTCAGCCTGGACACAGTGGGGAGGGTCTTTTTCCTGTTGCCTCATTGTGGTGATGGGGCAAACTTGTTGACTCCCTATGGGAGGCCTTACCCTCTTTGAGGAGCAGATGGGGAGTGGGGTGGGGGAAGCAGGAAGAGGAGAGGGAGGAGGAACTGAGATTGGTACATAAAATTAAAAAATAAAGTAAAATGAAGAAAGAAAAAAGGTTCCTGAGCTACAAATGTATAAATGTATGTGTATGAGATGGGAAACGGGTTCAGTGATTAGATGGCCAAGAAGGCCCTTTATCCAAGTCACATATGGAGAAGAGTAAGAAATCAATGCCACTTATTTTACACACAAAATATTTCTTATGAAACTACCAAAAAGTTTCAGTGAGAATGAACACTATTTAATGGGGAATCACAGTTCACAACACAATTTCCCTGGTTTTACTTTTAGGTGTGGTGAACTGGAAAAGAATAATTTGCTATGTATAGATTTTATTTTCGACAACAGAGTGGAGTTCTCAAGCACTCTGTGGTCCCAGGGCCATCAAGGGATGATGGCAGGAGTACACTCACTGAGTGCAAACAATGCATCAGAAGGGTGGTCCTGACTCAACTGGGTGATGCCTTCCCAATGTCCTATTGGTTTTCTACAGCCCCTGCTACCTGCTGTCCATCAGAAAAATAAATACACCAATACATGTTCCAGTCTTACACCAACTCACTAACAATGCTTATTTATTTATTTAGAGTGTGAGTGTGTGTGTGTATTCAACTTCAGAGTCTGTTCTCTTTCTTCCCTGTGGGGTTGGGGGAATTGAACTCAGGTTGTGAGTCTTGGCGACAAGTGCCTTTACACACTGGGCCATCTTGAGGGTCCAACACCAACACTTTTGAGGCTTAGGGAGTTGTCTGTCCTCTCCCAGGATGACTTGGGAACCATTTCCCATACTTAGACTGTAATGGCCCCTTGTTAACCCACAAACCCTGAAAGTGGGAAAGAACTGACATGACCCCAGGGTAACTAATGTCTGTGTCAATTTTTCCTTGGCAGCTTGTTAGATAAAGTGGAAAATGCCATATGCAGCATTAAGATGGCTTGGACTGCCATCAGAGCCTCTTCACAGCTCAGTCTTAGAGAAATGGACACTGAGAGCAGGGCAGTAAAGCCACAGGGACCCAGAGGCTGCTCAGTTTAGCCTTCTACCTGAAAATACCTCCTCATTCACAGTGGGACTAGGGGGTAGCTCTGGAACATTATATAAGCCTGAGTGTCTTCATCTGTAAAATGAAGGCAATAACAATCCACGCTACAGGCTGAAGTTAAGTGTGTGTGTGTGTGTGTGTGTGTGTGTGTATATGTATGTAATGTATGATGACATCAGTGCATCTGAAGATCACAAATTATAGGAACAGTTGCAAAACTTCCAAATTTGGTTTAAAAAGCTCAACAAGGGGCTGGAAAAGATGGTTCACTAGTTAAGAGCTCTTGTTGCTTTGCAAAAAACCAGGGTTCAGTTCTCAGTACTACAATGAGTAGTTCTGTAGCATCTATGTACACATGGCGCACGCGCGTGCGAACACACACACACACACACACACACACTCACTCACTCACTCTCGGTTATAAACACATATACAGAAAGTCATTTTTAAAAATTTTTAAAAAAAGAGTCAAGATCTGGGCTGGAGAGATGGTTCAGCCACTAAAAGCTAGGTTCACAACCACAAAGAGTCAAGGTGTGGGCTGGGTGAGGCTGCACATGCCTTTAATCCCAGCACTGGGGAGGCAGAGGTAAGCAGGGCTACAGAGAGACCCTGTCTCAAACAAACAAAAAACAAACAGTCAAGATATGCTTTACATTGGGGTTGTCATAACTGTGTTAATGGACATTTTCATTGGCACACATTCACTCTGACACAGTGGCACCCAAGGCCATTGTGGTGAGTGACACAGTTGCATGCCATGGACAGCTGTGATAAGGTTTACATCTATGTCTTTTTTTCCCTGTCAATAGTTACATGGAAAGCTGGAACTGGTTGGTCATGGCAGGAGCCTTGCCTTCCATCTGTGAAAATCCATAAGCTGGGCAAAGTGGTGAATACTTGTATTCGTAGTAACTGACAGGTTGAGACAGGAGGATTGCCAAGTTTGATGGCAGTCTAGTCTACATAGAGAGACCCTGCCTAAAAACCACCATCATCTGACTCAGGGTGTTATCTTTTCAGAAACTCAGCTATGGATGGAGGAGAGATGAGGTGAGGAGGGGTGAGGTGAGGTGAGGGGGAGAGAAGGTAAGGTGAGGTGGGGGGAGGGGAGATGAGTGGTAGATTCCCGTCTCTTTCCTAGCTGCAAGAACACTCAGAATCACTTGTCAACAGAATGTTGAGTTTGGACTCTGGTTCCCTTCTGTACTTTCTTTGCAGTGCTGGGGTGGAACCTAGAATTATAGACCTAGTAGGCAAACCTAGCTGTATCCCCAGCTCTTGCCTGGGTTATATTTTAATGAACTGCACAGAGAGCTATGAACATTGTTTCTTTTTTTCTGAATGGTCAAAATCCATATAATGAAAAAGCACCACATTGTTACACACCCTGAATCCTTTCACTTTTAAAAACCAGACACATACCAGTGTTCTACATAAGGGAATACTGACTTTTGAGCTCCCAGAAATATTCTTCCACTTGGTAGTCAACACAAGGAGGAAAACGGAGCTAGTTTTCCTTCGTGGACACAACTCCACATGAAAACTGTGTGGGCAGAGTAGCACAGTGCACTGCACAGCAGTCTCGGCATGTGATCGGTCCTCAGAACGCAGAGTTGGTTACAGCAGGAGTGACCTCGCTGGTTGAGTGTTTTAAAATTGTACCTCCACACCTTCGGTTTCTTTTCAAGTGACTTTCGCACAAATTACAGAAACAACAAACGAAATCCTGTAAGAGTTCTAATTCATAACTCTACAAATGGGTTGTGTTCCAGCCAATCAGCTTTAGCTGTTTCTGTATTTCTACATGTTCCTTACAAACAAGAAAAACGAGAAGTTCATACTTACTGGAAAGAACAGTGGTAAGGAAAATGTAGTCGGAGAAGGAGATGAGCCCACATTCTCCAAGGGTGTAGAATATACTGCCTTCATCAGCAAACTTTTCTCGTTCCTGGGCAATTTTCTAGTACGCACAGATCCCACCAAGAAATAAAGAAGATAGAGTGAATTAGAACATGGACAGTAGGAGCGGACTTGGCAGATATCTCACAGTCCACTCACTGCCTTAAGCATTTTCATGACAGCCATTCAGAATCAATGGATCCTTTACAGTTTTTAAGCTAATGAAAATTCCAAGACAAAAGATGATTAGTTTTTCACTTAAACTGGGTTAATAGGAAATTAGAAAATGATTTCAATTATTTTCTGCCATTGAACATGTAACCCTATCTCAGGACTGTTTTAATTTTAAAACAGCTGACCTCACTGTGAAGTACAAAGAAAAAACAAAACAAATAAAAAACCAAAAAAAAAAAAAAAAAAAAAAAAAAAAAACAAATAAAAAAGCTAAAGCTAAGAGGAAATTGGTTCCAACTGACTAAAAGACCACACTGTTAGTGATCTGAATTAGAGGGAAATCAGCTTTTTCAAGGCCATACAACATACAAATGCATCTGAAACAGTTACTTTAAACTTCCCTTTTGGACTCATCTTAGTCTGAAATACGAAGGAGTATTTAGGGCAAAGGATATTCTGAAATGTAATGCTGAATCAGACACTCACCTGAGGTTTAGACACAATAACCTAACTATATTTACTATTATGTTAGTGGATGCTACTGACTTTCAGCTTTTTGATGAAAACAAAAGGTTTCCTGACTCATCTCTTACTGCAAATACATACTGCCTTTCTTCACTCCATGATCATGAAGGCCAGGTTCAGTGGCAGTCGGCCTGACACATGGCCCCGTTCAGCTTGTCCAGCTAAACTTTTCCTGTTCTCTTTATTCCTCTCTGAAATACAAAATCCCAGTGGCAACACAGAAGACATTTGCAAATACTGCAAAGGATCCACCAGAGAGCTGCACAAAGTCCATAAGTTCTGGACCAACCACAGGTATTTAAGGAACCATTTATTCTGTGCACCAAGGAGGGGAGAAAGAAAGAAGCTTAAATAATTCGAACCAATGAAGCGCAATCAAAGCAACAATCTCATGCAACAGGCAGCACTGCAGAGAGGTACCACCACACCAGCATCCAGGCACAGGTTACCAAGGTTACCTCTGTCTAGTGGCGATCCCATCAACATCAGAAAGGAAAGAGAAGTGGTTAGCACAAGCACCATGGGAGTCAGTAAGACATCACCCCCACAAGACCTTAACTGACTCTGATGGCCCCTAAGCAAGTTCAAATCCACAGGCACAAGCGATGCCAACAGAACAGTCCCTGATCCTAGAGTTTGACTGCAGATGCTATTGGAGAATGAACTTGGGGCTGGGCTGCTGCTCAGTCATACCTGGAATGCCAAAACCTCAAGTTCCATCCCTAGCAGTGCAGAAACCAAACAGAAGACAGAAAGCAAGTGCTTTTCTGATTTTTGTGGCTGATGTATTATCCCCCATGGCAGCATTTAGTGATTATAATATCTTTGACCTGACAACTTAAAAGAACACAAGGCTCATGGTGTTCTCAGTACGGCTGGATCTTACGCCAACACTTGGTTTTCTATTCAGAGGTTAAACACAAATTCTAGAAGGAGAACCTATTAGAGGAAAGCCTGAGCAGCAAGGCCACTCTCTGGGAAGTTAATATGTAAATTCCTCAATATATACATATATACATAGATATATGTTTTTATTTATATATAATTATCTGATATATTGTAAAACACTGTGAATAGGAAGACTTACACAAAATGAAAATGTTTTCCAAAGCAGTAAGTATATATGGAAGACAAAGAATTAATATCATAAAAATTTCATGGAGATGCTGCTCTGTGTATTAAAATAAAGATGATATTGGCAGCCAAATGTTAAGGAGCAGGTCAGTTAAGACTTTCATGGTGCTCTTCACGAAGAATGAAGACATAAACCAGACTCAGCCAGTTAACTTTAGATTTTCATTCAATTTCAAACTGACAGACACACGGAGAAACTAGCACAAAGAGCCAGCATGTGTTTTTATGCAAGTTTACTAATACATGACTCCACTGGTTCATATTTTTTTTACAGAGACAGCCTTTGAGTCGGTCTGAGGCAGCTGGAGATATGGTGTTATTTTACGTTACTTTAAATGTATCAGCTTATATTTCCTGTGAACGAAGATATTCTCTTAAGTACTGGATAATAAACTTAATAAAACCAGAAAATTTAGTATTAATATACATAGTATTGTTAAATACCATACATTAATAAGAACCTTAGTGCATTATTTTGTGTGCAAGCCACTATGAGAGTGTAGCAGTCAGATGACAACCTAAAGTTAGTTCTTCCCTTCTACCATGTGAGCGCCAAGGCTCAAATTCAGGTCATCTTGTCAACCTTGTCACACTTAGCCAGCCAGCTATCCCAACAATTTCTTTTATACCCAAGCTTCTTTTTCCCCAGTCCAGATGTATCAAAATAAAAATGCATCCACTTGCCAAGTCTCTTTAGATTCCCATATCTGGAACAGTTTTTCCCTTATTTCTTTGAAGGTTTATTACATATTATTGTGATGGAATTTCCATAGAAGTCACCATTTTAACTATTTAACCATACAACAAATGAATATTTTTTGTGTCTGGCTTCTATCATTAAATGTTGTCCAGGTTCACTCACATCACAGTGTGAATCAGTACTAACCCACTGTATTACCCAAACCACTGCATTGTATGTACACACCAGGACTGCTTTACAAGTTCATAGGGAGGGCACTCAGATGATGGCTGTTGTTTGGCTGCTGTATACAATCACTAACAACTGCCAAGAGTAGTTGGATTTTCTCAACATATACCTAAGAGTAGAACTTCCTTACTACATAGTATATATTTAAGTCTTGAGGGACTGCCAAACTATTTCCTTCAGTGGCTTGAGCACATGTATACACATGTGCCCCCAGGCACTTAAGAGGTTCCAATTTGTACACATCCTCACCACTATCCTCATGGATATAAAATGGTACCTCACTGCAGTGCTTTCCTTTTCTCTTTCAGACAGGGTTTCACTATTTAGCCCTGCATGCTTTGGAACTCTTAAAGGCTGAGGTGATCCTCCTGTTGGTCTCCCAAGTGGTGGGATTACAGGTCCTGACACGTAGCTTCATTGTGGTTTTGATGTACATCTTCCTTGTGCCCAGCTTGCTGCCACACTTTATGACCTGTGATGGCATAGGTCATCTGAATGTCTATCCAAGGCCTGTGCCACTTTTCAACTGGCTTCACTCCAATGACTTGTAAGAGTTCTTGACACATCCTGGATGCTATAACCTTATCATCCATATACTTTGAAAATATTTTTACTCCTTCACTCTTGTTTTTCACTGTCCTAATAATGTTCTGTGAGCCACCTAAGCTTTTGCTAGTGAAGTTCAAGTCACCTATTTTTTTTTTTTTTTCTCATTTACTTATGTTTTAGTTCATACTTCATCATTGAAGCCAAGGTCACAGAGCTACCTCCACTTTCTAATTTGAAATTAGATTACTTTTTAAAAACTTACTGATTGAGTTTTTAATACAATGTGAGATAACCAGCATAGCTTCATTTTACATTTGTTTATTTGATGTGTATGTGTGTAGGAAATGCATGTGCCATGATGTACATGTGGAAATCAGAAGGTAACTCATGGGAGTAGAGTCTCTTCTTTCACTCTGTGGACTCTGGAGACTGCACTCAGGCCAGGAAGCTTGGCAGCAAGCACCTTTACCCACTCAGTCATCTTGCCAGCTCTCAACTTTATTTTTTTTGTGTCTAGATATCTAGTGAACACCATTCCATTTGTGGAGGAGACTGTCTTGCCCTACTCAATGCTCTTAGCACACTGTTGAAAGTCAATACATTGTGAGTACAGGCTTATCTCTGGATTCTCAACTTTATGCCATTTTCTATAGGTCTATGTTTATGCTAGTATTATACTGATGGTTAAAAGGGTAGTATGACAGGTGTACATAGGGAACATTTTGGACCCTTCCTCCTTATCCTTAGGACAATTATACAGTCTGTAGACAAAAAAGAAATGTCACCAGACAGAGATATAGTAGACCTACTGTGGCCAATGATCACTCAATTGTAATACTACTCCAACTTCATCACTACACTTGTAATGCTACTACAGCTAGCTCATTGAACAATGCAGGTTTGTGTTTAGAACTTATGCTCCTTAGGGAAGGACAAGATTGTTGTCAGAGTAGCTGCAGGTGAGCCCTCTGATATACTGAGAATTGTGGGAACGAATAGAAGGGCCCAAAGGAAGGCTGAACTGCTTTATATAAGAGAAAATTAAGGAGCCAGGCAATGGTGGCTCACACCTTTAATCCCAGCACTGGGGAAGCAGAGGCAGGCGAATCTCTGTGAGTTCAAGGCCAGCCTGGTCTACAGAGCAAGTTCTAGGACAGGCTCCAAAACTACAGAGAAAGCCTGTCTCAAAATAAATAAATAAATAAATAAATAAATAAATAAATAAATAAATAAATAAATAGAGAGAGAGAGAGAGAGAGAGAGAGAAAGTTAAGGATACTGGAAAGAAATCTAAGTGACAAGGGCTCACAACAGGACAATGTGTCCAGGAAGAATAGAACATTTCAAGCAACGGAGAAGTAGAGGGAACAAGGGAACATTGCACAGGCATACATGATGATGACTCCAAAAAAAAAAAAAAAAAAAAAAAAAAGGAATGAGAGTTACCAGGCAACCAATTGTTATACTATTTTGTGTGCCTACGGCTCTTCTTAGCTGGCTTTTTAAAAAGATCTAATTCTAATATAGATGATATTCTCAAATCAACTGCCCATAACATACAGGAAAGCTATGAAAACAGAGATACAAGTTTGAAAATGAAAACTTAAAAGCCTGGAGTATGGTAAAAATGGAAAGCAAAAATGGAAAGAGTTGAAAGGCTGACAGAAAAGTGTTGGTTAGTGTCTCTGACTCCAAAGGTCTCTTTAATGCTCAGTTTTGCAAACGGAAAAATGCCAGCAAAATGTTCCCTT